AATAAATGCATGAAGTTAATCAAAATCGTCATTTTTTACACATTTAATCTCATTTATCTCAGGAACCTGACATGATGGACAAATTCTAAGGCCATATTTGGATTCAACGTATAAAAAAGAACTACGTAGGAAACTATTATCAAATCTCAAACATCAAAACCATGCAAGCCTGTGTAATGTGTAATGTACTAGATCAATTTCATAATCACTACATTGAATTAAATGTTAAGCTTATTTTACACAAACAAAAAGCAAAAAAGCATCAAGATTTTGCTAAAAGAATTGGGGCAGTTACTTTGAAAAAAGATTCAAGTCAAAGTCTCTCATAACTGCACAATTTTGTAGCACTGCAATCGAATAAAATTGAATAAAAATTAAATCAATAACGTAGAAATTTGAATTACAATATTTAGTCGATAATAAAAGGTTAAAGAAACTGAAACGTAATTGTATGTATGTATATCTTTCAACTATCAAGAAATTGATCTGATTATATAAGGCAAGTAACTATACCTCTTGGATTGCATAAATTACGTGATAAATATGATTAATGTATTGAGAGTCAGCTTTACAACCTCTATATTAAATAAAAAAATTTTTAGTTTTATATAAAAAAAATATCAAGGAAATATTCAACTTTTGTTAATTAAACTAGATTTTAAGCTCATTTTATATAATGATGATATGATTAAAAACATGGCAGCTGATTGAATTAAATTTTTAGCACGTTTTATACAAATAAGGGATTTAAAAAATAAACATTTTTTCGAAAGGATTAAAGCATATTTTGGCTATATACAATCCTGAACTAGAATTCCTTTCACTTGTTTCAATTGATTCGCAACTTTTTTGCAATGTACAACTGTTTTCAAGACGATTTGAACACTTTTCTTCAGTGCGTTTTGGAACGTAGTCAATAGTTCAATAAGAGAGCTTGTTTTTTATCCTAGTAGTTATATTCTGTCATTGGCTGCGTTCCAAACTGCATCGAAAAGTGTTAAATCGTTTTGAAAACTAGAACTACACGAAGATCACGCGTGATATATTGTTTCAGTTTAGTAAGGCACGTTTAGCGCTAAGCGTACGCAGTCGGAACGTGGAGCCGAGACGAGTTAAAATGTCGGATACAGGTACGACTGTAACCACCGGGGCAAACCGCGAGGGTGTACAGTCAAAGAGATTAACGAGATCGAGAGTGAGGGTTTGCGGCTGAGTCCCGGTGACCTCGAAACCAAGTCGGCCTCGCGACCGGAGAGTCTCTAGGATCGATATTCGCACCGCTGTTCGCTCTAGCACGATGCAGATGTCACTTGACCGTTTTCCCACTTACTCGTCGCTAAATCCGCCGCGAAACACCACGTCATGCGACACGAGAACGACAAAGTAACTGTCGAATACTCGCGACCGAATCAGGGGTTCGATTTCTTCGCACTTTTCACGTTCTCTCCCTCCTTCTCCTTTCTCGCGCATTGCCGCATCCGAAACGCGTCGCAGAGAGAAGCATCGCTGAGAAAAAAGAAAACGCGAAGACTCGAAACGCAAGGGAATAATACGTAAATTAAGCGGTGTCTGCAATGAAAACTTAAGTCATAAGATTTAAGTTTCGTCTGCAATACGTAAACTTAGTATGAAAAGTAAAAGAAATAAAATTTTATCTTAATTATAATAAATAGAAATTTATTTCATTTATATATACATTTAAACTGTAGTTTCCTTACAACGGAAATGTTTATATTTAACAAAAAGACTTTCAGCATAAGAAAGATGGAATATAAATGTAAAAGCGTAATAAATTGTTTTTATTTTTTACTCCTACTTCTTACACCAAGCTTATTTCACGTATTGTAAACGGCTACTTAAACTTTAAGCCATAAAAAATTGATCGATTACAGTCAAATATGAGGAAAACAATCGACTGTGACTAATCAATGACGATTTCTTACAATTTAAGCTTAAGGCTCAAAGCTTAAAAATCTTATGGTTTAAGTTCTCATTGTAGACACTGCTTTAGCAATTAAATTATGAGCAATCGGCACAACGTCTCTTAATCTTTCCTTCGCGCATTTATCTTCATTGATTTTATAGTTCTATTATTTAGCGTTTTCGTCTGAAGAGTTTGGATCACTTCCAGAGCAACTCATGATGTAAGCTCTGCGATAAGCGATAAAGCAAAATATTGTAATGGAAATTATGTTAAAATTATATTTCTTTTTATGACATTTTTCTCCATAAAGCTGGACTGTACTGAAAAAAATTATAATATATAAATTACCATAGAAATATAATAAATTTGACGATTTACCGAATATATATGATGTAAAAGAAACATTCAAGTCATTAAAATAATTTTGTTATAAAAGTCAAATTTATATAACATTTTTAAATAAATGTACAGGATCTCCTAAACTTTTCTCCGCAATTTTTGTGGGAATGTAGAACGGATTGAGATAAATATAAAAATCCTATACCATTTCGCGATATTCGCAATAATAGTCAAGATATTAATTAAAAAAGATTGAAGAATGATCACGCGCGTAGATGAGCTGTAGTGGCAATGTGTGCTGTTGTATACTTTACATTAGATGAAATTTAACAAAACAACCCTTTATTATTTTGCACGTAACCACGTAGATTTTTAGTTATCAATAAAAGAAAATTGTTACATGATGATGTGCGATAATGTACAAATCTTCTTTAATTGATATCTAAATATTTATATGATCATTTGCAAAATGGTAGAGGACTTTTTTGTTCAGTTTGACTTAATAAATATACAATGCCGTAACTACAGCTCATCTACATATCGCGCGTGATTATTCACCAATCTTCTTTAATTAATATCTCGAGATCTATTGCAAATATTGCAAAACGGTATGGCACTTTTATGTTCACCTCAATCCGTTCTACGTTCTCACAAAAATTGCGGAAGAGAGTCTGGGACACCCTGTATAGTAATTTCGGCTATAATATCATAATGTAACCATTATTATTTATAATAATGTACTGACTCCAAGACTGCAAAAATTTTGTTTCAATTTTTGTTACTTTTTGTTATTTTATTGTGATTTTCGATTTTATATTTTATTACAATAATCAATTTTGTCTTAATTTTTATTACAATATTTTTTCTATGTACACAGAGTGTATATTTTTTTACATTTTTTTTTCGGCGCTCAGGGCGTCGCCCGCCCGAGTGTGCAGCTGCAAAGCAAAAATATTTTCAAAATTTCATGTTTTCAGCATTATCCAGAATCATAATGAGGACAATGAGCAGGATCATGGTTCCAATAATGATTTCTGCTTTTTTATATTTTATATATATCTATTTTTATATTTTTTGTATTTTTGTAAATTTTTACATTTTCAAAATTTTTTTACTTGTATATTTTTGTCTCAATATTATTAAGAGTATTAAAAATAAGAATTTTATACATAAAAATAAAAACTTAGCAAAAAAGGTAATTTAAAAATTATTCTCTAGACTGTACCAATATTTCTACAACATTCTTGTAATCGAGGTTGTAGCTCAATTCATTCTCGATTAACAAAATTGCTAAATCAGATAACCGCGTCTACAAGTAAGAACGGGTCATTGCAGATCGAGCTTTCAATTTTCACATATTTAGGGACATCTAAAAAATTATTGGTACCTATTAAAATTTTACGTTCTACGCTAAAAAGTACTTACGTACTACCTAGTAGCTGTATATATATGTATATAAAATAGCCGAATTTACTATTTTTCTCTATAATTATTTATACTATTTCCATATAATCCAACTTTACAAAAAACATTATGAAAAGATATATAATTTTGACATAATTTGGACGTAATTTTACTACATTTTCTTCGTGTACATGGAAAAACTCCTCTAGTTAAAATTACTACAGAATTTTATAACTGTCTTACTTTTTTATAACTATAGAATTTTATAATTGAATATAATGAAAAATATATCAACATCTTGCCTTAATTTATGATTCTTCCACTTCATATATGTTTATATATATATATATATATATATTTACTTATTTATTTATTTATTTATTTACATTTATACTTTAATTTACAAACTTATAACATTAATTTTATTATGTATCTATATAAATTTTTATGTATATCCTGAAAAAAGTATATATGTATATTTTTTAAACTGAATAAACTGAAATCTATTGTAAAAAAATTACTTTGTAAATTTATTAACGTAATTTTTTAACAAAATAAATCCTATTAATATAGTCTGTTCCCATTAGAAAATATGATAAAATTGAAAAAATTTATGATAAAATGAAAAAAGCTACAATATATCCTCTGTGCAAATAAAGCTTATGACGTCATTAATCACGCCGCAAGCGATGCAAATCCGCTTTAGTCGGAAGCATTTATATTTATAAAACTTTAACACGAAATAAAGGGGTGGTACACATTCGCAGCTGAGACTCGGTCGAACGATGTCCCAGGTGATTCCAATCATATTAAACACACCTTGGATCACAAGAAGCGGTTATATGAGAATTGGCATTCAAATTTGGACGTTCAAATTTGAACGTTCAACGGTCTAAGAAACAAGGAACATAAGGTCCGTGCATTTTTCCGCAGAACTGCGCTAGTGCAGTAAGTTAGAGTGAGACAAGTATACTTTCTTTCACCCTGACTTATTATATCAGTATGCGCTAGTTCAGAAGTTGTTCGAAAACGAACAGACCTACGATCCAGCGCATGCTGAATATTTCATCGAGGGGGTTTCTCGGTGCGCGCGATACCGAGAGATTCGGAACGCGCGGCGCGGTGAAACCACCAGCGACGCTCTTCGACGGAAGGAGCGCTGGCGGTGACGGCGGCGGCGGCAGTGGCGGCGATGCTGGCGGTCGCCGTCCAGGGGTGACGCACCGAGGACGCGGTACCGTCGCAGCGGTACACTCGCATACACATACACACACATACGCACACACCTGTCCGCGCGCATTAACGAAGAAGATCATCAACCAGACTTACCCACCTCTTGGCAGGACGCTCGAACGACAAGCGAGTCCCTCAACATTCCCAGGAGGAAGTTTACCTCGAGCCTTTCCGTCACGGGTGATGCTCGGTCCTCTCACCAGGGGGGTAGAAACGGGAGCGCCGCGGTGCGGTGCAGCGCCGCAGAGAGCGAAAGAAAGACGGAGTCAGGGTGAGGAAGAGAAGAAGAGGGTGGTCGGCTGATCTCGGGTGTCCGCAACCCGGCAAACACTTTCACAGGACAACACTTTCTCGTCGACACTCCGACGGGCAACTGTTCGCGGTCGGCCGCGCGCGATTCTTCGCGACGAAAGAGTCGCGGAGCGTCAATTTATGCGACGGTGCGCGCTTACCTGGCCTTTAAAAACACCGTGCGGGGCGGAAGCTGCCATGCTACTACCCGGCCGACCAATCACGTAGCGCCATCTCGCCGCGCGCGCGACTGCACGCCGACGCGACTCGATCTGGAACAATGTCGTTCCACCTGAGAGATCTTGTACGCTTTAATTGCACCCTTTGTTTCCCTCGCGACTTCCACCCGTGTCGTGCTTCGGACGCGCCGACAGTTGCGCGAAAGTGCACAATTGAAACGAGTGGAACTGCGATTACTTCGAAGGCTCCCGAAGTCTCTTTTCTCTTTCGAAGTACGCGCTGATAGATTCATTTAAATTTCAAACTCGACTGTTTCGATTGGGAAAGTGTATATGATGGAATGTCCTTGAATTGTTTGATCGAATTTTAGAGACGTTCGAGCAATCGTACTCGAGGCAGGACTTTTCAAGGTTGCACGTGTTGCTGTTACTCGGCGGACCAATCGATTGTTTATATTCGCCGTTAATTTGGTCTGGTATAAAACATATTTCAATACCAAGCTTCGCGCAACAACTTCGTGTGTAAAAACAGAAGGCTGATGTCAAACGAATAAAGGAATTTTAGAGAGTTCCCGGATCGATCTGTATTTTCCATATAAATTTATAACAAAATATAAAAATATCTTTTTAAGCGCGTTCCCTTGAAAATAGATATAAGCCAAAAGTTTAAAATAAAACAATATATTAACGTTTCTAATAATGAAACAAATCAATAAATAAATAAATATTGATAAACGAACAGGCTACCTGTATATTTTTCATATAAAGCTATAGTGAAAGCAGAACGAAAACACGTATGTTTTCATGTTTTTTTAAAGCTCCTGACTACTCACCGCGTCCATTTTTATATATGACGTTAAAAACTAGAAAATGCATGTCCAAAATTCCTGTAAAGTACATCAAAATAAAAAGATATCCAAAAAATGACACATTTGCTGTCGATTAAGCATACTTCTAAAATACTCCGAATACTTTCCTATTCCTCTAGTAATCTAAAATAATGAAAATAATACAAATTAAGAAAGAAGGTTGCATGTCATGTTAATTTTATGTTATTTATTGATTGTTGCAAAAGGAAAATATTTTAGAAATGTATTTTTAATCAAAATTGCAAATGTTATTTTTTTAATACATCTTTTTACTTCGACGTACTTTGTAGAAATTTTCTCGCTTCTGACGTCATCAATCAAAAGAAGCCATCGTAAAAAAAAAATAATAAGATTAGGTAACAATTCCCTACTAATGGAATGGTTACAAGGTATATCAGTCACGAAATCTCTTTCTTTTAGCTATACTTCCTTCACGACCTTGCAATTCTTCTCTCTTTCTCTCCCTTCTTTCAATTCAATCTCACATACACCCGTTGCAAAAAACGATTTAAACACAATGAAGTTGGAACCTCATCTAACTGTTAAAATTTAGTATCATTATTGTATATATGATAAGCTGTATATATGATAAGCCAATAATTATATTATTATTATTATTATTTATTTGTTATTTATTATTACTTTTTTAGTTTCTTAATTATATTATTAATTATATTATATATTATTGATTATAAAAATCAATCAATAATAACTTTCAATTTATTAGGAACTGACCAAATAGTTTGGTAAGTTCCTAATTTTATTGTGCCTAAACCGTTTCACAATCTATTGTATAGCAAATGTAACATGGTATAACTAAAAAGAAGAGACCTGTTAATAATACACAATAACTGTTTAGTAAACATATACATTAAGCATATCATGATAGTGATAATAGTGATAATATTTATGGTATCTCGTCAAAATTTCGAACTTTATATTGTGTTGTAAAGTAAATAAAGCTTACTTTCTAGTGGACGAAGCAACGACCACATAAACGAGTAGCTAATCAATCTGACAATTAAATCTGTTTTTGCAAAAATGCACATGTATGTGTCTTAAAGCGAAAATATAAACAAATGTATAAATGTACTCTACTCACATACAAATATACACTATTAATGGTGCGAGAACATTTAAATAATATCACAATTTTATTTTAATATTAGAAAAATATATACATTTTATCATCAAGCTTAACCCCTGCCTCTTCCAGTCTGAGGTCCACCAGGTTGACCTTGTTGATTGAGCCAAGGTGCCGAGCCAGTGCCTTTGCCTCTTTGATTCTGTTGTCCTCTTCCTCTGCCACGAGCTGCAACAATTTTGTGTGTTTATCATATTGATAAATATATCACCTTTATATTTGAAAACGCAAGAATTTCAACCCATAAGAATAATTCTATTTTGTTAAGGTATCTTTTGAAAAAATCTCAATCTTTCTCTATATCTAATGATATCATTACATATAAATTACTGATATTGTTCCACCAAATTTAAAGATACTGTATACAAATAGAAGACTAATGATACATGAATACAATTATAATAACACTTAATGACACAATTAATGATACATGAATATAATTATAATAATACAGATAAGCTAAGTCAGTCTCATTGGAGACACGTTTTAAGATCTTTATTTGTAATAAAGCTTTATAAAAATACTGTTAACAATCCGAGAATATTCTCATATTCCAATGTTAAACGTTTTAGCAGATTTTGAATAATATTCAATAGTTAATAATGTACATCAACAAATATTCATATTGTTTATCTTTCTTCAATGTCACAAAATTTATATTACAATGATAAAAGTTTTCTTGAATGCTATTCCGTTATTTCTTAGTTATTTCTTTATTTATTATCTTAGTTAACAATTATTTTTGCAAATTTAATGAAATAAAGCATGATACAAATTTTTTTATATTAAGATCATATAATTAAAAGTATATTTTTGTACACAATTGATATTATCATATAATTACAATTTTGTCCTCCTTACTGAATGAGATTTGCCTTTTCTATATGAATAATTATATAAAAGAATTATTTTTTATTATATGATTATTATATCATAAAAATTATAATTGTTAAACTTTACTCAATTGAATCAGAAGAAATAACTCCACTATAAGTCACAACATATATAAACACAGAGAAAGACTTACTGAAAATAACTAATGAGCATTAACCCGAACTATATCTCTCTAAGATCGAGATCTCTCAATGTTAAGGAAATTCACCTAAGACATATAAGATTCTCCATATTTGGCAAATGAAAAAATTACATTTTATTACGAAAATCTGAACATTCCAAGTCAACTTTTTCTCATCTTTTCTTATTATATTGCAATAGCACTCAAGAAAACTTTGATGCTTACTATTGAAATACAGATTTTTTTATAACATTTACAAAAAGCAAAGACTGCTTGTGTTTTGATGTACATTATGAACAATTATAAATGATAAAAACTATATGATTAAAACATTTTGCATCAAAATATAGGAATACCCACAAACTGTTAATATCTTCCACAAATACAATTACATTTAAAAAAACCTTACAATAATCAGATAAAAATGATTTACATAAACGTCACTTTCAACTGAGAAATACTAAAAAACAAATTCTCACTAGATACATTGCAAAACTCAACAGAGTAAAAATGTTGCAACCTCTTATTCATTGACTGTATAAAACAGTATAAGCATTGTTTTCAACGGGACGTTTATGGGAGCGATTTTGTATTATGTGAACAAACCTTGGGCACGCAATATGGCAGACTTTCCTCTACCAGCAGTGCCAGAGCCCTTGCCACCAGGTCGTTTGAACATGGGTGCGTTCTTCAACATGTCCGGCAATATGAGGAACCGTATTTTTGAGCCTCTTATATATACATTTTCTAGCTGAGCAACACGGCCATCTCGATAAGTAACTGTCACATTTTGCATCTGACAGTTCATGTTGTCTTCAGCCTCTATTAGTTTGCCGCGATAGACCTCGCCGGTGTTGGTCTCGCAGGTTATGATATGGCCTTCGGCCTCGTGCAGCACTTTGATGGGCACGCCAATTGACATTTTAGACACCGTGTGTGAAAGATTCACCTCAATTTTAGATATATTTCCACTCGTTTCTTATTGGGATTTGTTTCTCAAAAAAATACTGGTCGCATTTATATTCTCGACACAGCCGCGGCGGGTAAATAAACAAGCTCCACGAAATGAATGGCGATAGCTGCATTCAGCAGAAACCAGCACTTCGTGACTATTGCTTGTGATTGGATATACCAGTGAAAACTAGAATTAACTAGAAGTAACCAGAAGTATATACCAATCAGAGGCAATAACTATCGAGAAGTAATTTCGACTGAACGCAACTATTCATTGAAAAATGAATCGATAATCGATAACTTCTTTGTAAAGAATCGACTCGAGTTAAATTTCAAACTTGATTTTTTCAGTTTGGATCTAACCACCGCGACGTGAGACGTATTTGAATTTATCAGTGACCTATGATTTTTTGAAATATACTTTGGATTATTTCCAAAAAATTATAAAACTTCATCTCTCAAGTGTCGATTAAAGGCGTTGAGACAAAGATTTTATGATACCAAGTGCCATACATATTGAGAGAGAGAGAAAGAGAGAGAGAGAGAGAGAGAGAGAGAGAAAGAGAGAGACTTAACGATTGAATTAACAAATATAATAGGACATTCTGGAATTTTTTGATTATATTTTTTTGGTATTTTAGCTGTCATATTCGGATTAGAATCCTCCAAAATTACATGTGTTAATTCGCGCGATATCTAACTACCAATTGTTTATATTAAATAAGTTCTGGGAAAGATTGTTATATCTTCCATATAAATAAATACAGTGAAGTATACAGTTAGAAAATAAAACTATTCTTAAACTTTCGTATTTTCTTAAAATGAAAAAGATAAAAATAAATAAATAATAAAAATGTATAACAATATTTCTAGTAATTAAGTGCTTAGAAAAGATATCCTACATAAAATCTTTTTCTCTTAATTTTCTTTACATCCTTACAATTTTTCCCTGCTTCTTTCCCATCAATTCTACTTAAAAATGTATTTATTAAAAAATTAAATATAAGAAATGCAACATAACACTGGACATAACGGAAAACAACCCATTAATAAAATATTAATTATATATTAATAAATACACAAGTAGTTTTCTGCAAAAATGTATAATATATTAGTTGTACTATAAAAATGACAATACTTATTTCATCATAATTTAGAATCTTACAAATATTACATTAGGAAATAGAAAAACTTACTTATGGACAAAATAATAGCTATATAGATAAACAGCCATTCTATCAATGATCAAATTTGTTATCTCTGGAAAAGTACACATGTATATGTATCTTGAAATAGAAATGTACAAATGTATTCTACAGGAAGTCCAAAACATTTAAATAAAGTCACAATTGTATTTAATATTAGAAACATATGTACATTTTATTATTTAACTCAATTTCTGCCTCTTCCAGCCTGGGATCCACCAGGTTGTCCTTGCTGATTAAGCCAAGGTGCTGAGCCAGTGCCTTTGCCTCTTTGATTCTGTCCTCTTCCTCTGCCACGAGCTACAATAATTTTTTGTCATGTACAGTTGCAAAAACCCATTACCTTTATACTTTGAAATAATTCGATATGCAATAATTCTGTTTTGTTAATGTATATTTTCTAGATGTCTTCTTCTTAATTTAATTACACCATTGCACATAAAATACTGAACCAAGTAAAATTGTAAAGTAACTTACAAGTGATACAATTAATACTATATAGATATAACCAATAAATTACAGGTTACAATTTTTACCTAAAATTTGCAATGCATTCCCTATCCAAAAAAAAAATATATCTTTTGAGAATTGACAAAAAACAAATTTTCCTATTAGAGTTCTCTTCTTATATTTCTATTATACCACAAATATGTTACAAAACAGCAAGATTTAAGTGTTGCAATTTTTTATCCACTTAATGTACAAAGAAGTCAAACAAAAATTGTTTTCAACTGATAATTGTTTACAAAAAAAAATCTCGTGTTATGTGTACAAACCTTGAGCACGTAATATTGCAGATTTTCCTCTACCAGCAGTGCCGGAACCTTTGCCACCAGGTCGTTTGAACATGGGTGCATTCTTCAGCATATCTGGCAGTATGAGGAATCGTATTTTCGACCCTCGTATATATACATTTTCTAATTGAGCGACTCGGCCATCTCGATAAGTCACTGTAATGTTCTGCATTTGACAGTTCATGTTGTCTTCGGCTTCTATCAGTTTGCCGCGGTAGACCTCACCGGTGTTGGTTTCACAGGTTATGATGTGACCTTCGGCCTCATGAAGCACTTTGATGGGCACACCAATCGACATCTTGAGTATCGTGTGGGTTCGATGAATTAACCTCAATTGCAAATATATTTCTGCTTACCATTCGTCTCGCGCACCAAAAATATTAGAAAGTTCTATTTATTGTTGACGAGATATCGGATGCTTTGTGCGGCTACGTACTCTCTTAGCTCCTGCACACAGGACGCGGTAATGCTTGCCGCGCGCCGGAAATCCGCGCAACAGCCAATCAATATGTTGTTTTTCCGTAAGAGCTAGAAGGTTATTACGGAAAGCAGCATATTGATTGGCTGTCGCGCGAACTTCCGCCGCGTGGTAAACATTACTGCGTCCTGTGTGCAGGAGCGGGGGCGGTGCACTTAGACACGGTGCATTTGGACACAGCCAATCACAGCACCGTGTGATTAGAGACATTTGTAGGGTCCCTTGGAACAGCGACTTGTGATTGGACTGTGTCCAATTGCCCCGTGTCCAACTGATATACACCCTGCAGGAGCCATCTCTCTCTCTCTCTCTCTCTCTCTTTGGTTGCAGATCTGTACTCGGTGGCCCTTTCACCACAACATGATATAGCTCCTGCACACAGGACGCGGTAATGCTTGCCGCGCGGCAGAAGTCCGCGCGACAGCCAATCAATATGTTGTTTTTCCGTAAGAGCTAGAAGGTTATTACGGAAAGCAGCATATTAATTGGTTGTCGCGCGAACTTTCGCCGCGCGGCAAGCATTACGGCGTCCTGTGTGCAGGAGCCAATATGGGAAAACGTATTCGTTATGATCCATTGGATACTACAAATGTTTTAGAGCTCATAAAGAACGACTATGATTGGTTAATGTCAGATGCAACATCAAGTGAATTCTTCATTTTCCATAGTCATATGGCTCCTGCACACAGGACGCGGTATTGCTTGCCGCGCGCCGGAAATCCGCGTGACAGCCAATCAATATGTTATTTTTCCGTAAGAACTAGAAGGTTATTACGGAAAGCAGCATATTGATTGGCTGTCGCGCGAACTTCTGCCGCGCGACAAGCATTACCGCGTCCTGTGTGCAAGAACCATTAGGAAGCTGCGTCAAAAACGTCACTCGAATACTCTCCCTCTCTTTTTACCTCACTCTTGTATCTCGCTCACTCCAACGCAACGCAACGTACACTTGGGTGACGTTTCCGAACGCAGACTTATGGAGAATTCACATCGCGTCCGATGTCCGACGTACGACATCCAATAAGAAAACAGCTTTCTAATGGAGAATTGAATTCTCTATTAGAAAGCCGTTCTCCTATTGGATATTGGACGTCGTACATCGGACATCGTGATGTGAATCCTGTATTAGCGTGTTTGGTAACTTGTGGTAGGCCCGTTCTACAATATGTCGTACGTCGTTGTTGGACGTCGGAACGCAGTCGATGAGCCAATCAGAGGATTTGTTTTTCGAAACGAGTTCTCCTGATTGGACCATTGATTGCGTTTCGACATTCGAATCCGTCGTACGACGTATTGTAGAACGGGCCGTAGAGGCGTGCTTAACCGTTTTAGGTTTAAAGCGGGAAGCACACACTCTTGCATAAAGGCATAATGCACAACGCATTAGATAATTAACCAATCAGAATCCTCATTTCTATTGCCACAATAAAAATGAAGAACTCTGATTGGTCAATTTTCCTATACTTTATATATAAGGTGTAGTAAAAAGAAATCCATTATTTTTCCAATAAATGGCTTTAGTAATGTGTATCTCGCGTTGTATAAATGCAATCGGTTTACGCTAGATGGCGTTAGAAAGATAAGATTTCGTACTAAAAAAACTTCTCAGACAATTTTGTGATTGTTTGACTCAGTATTGTTTGAGCGCGCGTCAAAGATGGACACCAACAAAGAGAAAATACGCTATATTTTACAGTTTTTCTTCGATAAAGGCGAAAACGCAAGCCAGGCGGCTGAAAATATGAATAGTGTTTATGGTCCTGATACTGTAATAGCCAATCACGCGCAATTTTGGTTTCGTCGATTCCGTTCCGGTAATTTTGATGTCAAAGATGCACCACGCTTTGGAAGGCCAATTGTCGAAAATGTCGATAAAATAATGGAAATTGTCGAGTCCGATCGTAAGCACTGTTTCGATTGCCCAGGAGCTAAACATTGCACAAAAAATCGTTTGGAACCACTTGAATAAGGCTGGATACAAAAAGAAGCTCGATGTATGGGTGCCACACGAGTTAACGCAAAAAAACCTCATAGACAGAATTTCTATCTGCGAATCGTTGCTGAATCGCAACAAAATCGACCCATTTCTGCAGCGGATGGTGACTGGTGATGAAAAGTGGGTCACTTACGACAACGTCAAACGAAAACGGTCGTGGTCGAAACGCGGTGAGCCGACACAAACGGTGGCCAAGCCAGGATTGACGGTCAGGAAGGCTTTGCTGTGTGTTTGGTGGGATTGGCAGGGAATCATCCACTATGAGCTGCTCTCCTACGGCCAAACTCTTAATTCGGACCTGTACTGTCAACAATTGGACCGTCTGAAGGAATCAATCGCCCAGAAGCGGCCAGCTTTGGCCAATAGGAGAGGAATTGTGTTCCATCAGGACAACGCCAGGCCACACACATCGATAGTGACTCGCCAGAAGCTCCGGGAGCTTAGTTGGGAGGTTCTTATGCATCCACCTTATAGTCCGGACCTGACACCAAATGATTACCATCTTTTCCTGTATATGGCAAATGATTTTGCTGGTGAAAAATTCGCCTCAAGAGAAGCTTGTGAAAATCGACTGTCCCAGTTTTTTGCCAATAGGGACAAGGGTTTCTATGAGAGAGGTATAATGGAATTACCTTCAAAATGACAACAAGTTATCGAACAAAACGGTGCATATTTGACCTAAATCGGATCATTCTAACTATGCTAAATAAAGCCTTCAATTTCATGCAAAAATAATGGATTTCTTTTTACTACACCTTATATTATGCTTTTATGCAAGAGTGTGTGCTCCCCGCTTTAGGGTGCTATTTCACATAGAGTATTTCTAAATTCTCTATTCGTCAACCAATGAACGTATCCAAAAAGCTTGTCGTACGACACGTGAAATATCAGCCTTACACAACAAAATCCATAAAAAGGGAGGCGATACCAGCGAAAACCTAAGTAACTCAAATTAAATTTCTGTGAATTAGTAACACTGAGGGTGCCATTACATAAAGCACGGAAACGTGAAAAACAAAATCTTACTAGATCCGCTATGCGTTCCGCGTCTGTTTTGATTGCCTTGTATTACATGGAGCATATTTTGAGCGGGAAAGAGGTATGGGGAATTATAAAATATTAATTTTTAACGGTATTTATTAATTAAAATGTTTGTATTCAACAGATAAGCTGAAAAGATAAACATATTAGTAAAAATTGCAGTAAATTAAGTTAATACAATTCTAAAAAATGAAAACAGATGTTTATTTATCACCAAACCGTTCTGTTTTTCCGCGCAAATTATACTTCATGTAATATAAGGAGAAATAAAGTCGCGGAACAAGCGTGTAAAAATCCATTGTCACAAGTTGTCACAAGTTATCACAAATTGTTCAACCTAATTGCCGTTACATTAAGATGTGTTCAAACACGTTCGGACCTGACATTTTTTTTAAATTCATACCTTGGTACCTTGGATGAAAAGACAATAGAGAAAAGTTTTGGGTCTTCTGCTTTTCCGCTTTTTCAAAGTACGGGAAGAAATGATTCAATTCGCAAAACGCGGAAATCTAGTAAGATTTTCTTCCACGTTTCCGCATTTCCGCGCTTCATGTAATGGCATCCTGAGGCCGACGTCTCATGGGGCGGAAATTCTCCGCGGAACACGCGGAACCAGTACAACCAATTACAGCCATTCCACTCTTTTTTGTGTCGTTTCACTATAATCTTACCGCTGCAATTTTGCGGAAAGGATAAAGATATTCGCGGATAACCTCAACATATATTACATATCTCATTTGCTTCTTATACATTTATTATATATATTTTTTTTTGACATTTTTTTTATTTCATTTAGAAATGATGAGTGGAGGGATCGTAAGTAATAAGATGTTAATATTTTAATAATTGTAGTAAATAATTATGTATAATATGTGAATATGTTTATAGAAAATAAAATGCGGTTATTGCCATAGTCGACAAAAATGGGTGTATATCAGTTGGACACGGGGCAATTGGATACGGTCCAATCACAAGTCGCTGTTCCAAGGGACCCTACAAATGTCTCTAATCACACGGTGCTGTGATTGGCTGTGTCCAAATGCACCGTGTCCAAGTACACCGCTCCCGACTAAAATCACATAATATATTCTCCATAATTAATCACAACAGATCTCACTTTATTATACTACATAATGTATCACCGCAATTCCGCTGATGTACTTTTCCTTCTGTCTCATGAAGCGGTAAATGTCGCAGCGGAATTAAGTTTTAGCCAATCGTAAAATAGTTCCATATTTTTGTAAAAAGTATTTTCCTGAAAAACTAATTTTACTCTACTAATTTATCATATTATATCACTTATATAAAATATTATTAAAATTATTAAAAATGTAAAAAATAACATTAAAAAATCTACTTTTTGTATTATTCCGCATGATCCGCTTCCGCGTATTCCGCTCCATGGAACACAAGGAAAATAGAAAAAGTGTCGGAAGAAAAGCGGAACGGCTGTGATTGGTCGTGCTAACTCCGCACGTTCCGTTCCGCTGAAAATTTCCGCTCTGTGGGACGACGCCCTAAGGGTGTAAACTCATGCAGCGGAATAACGGAGCGCGGAACGAGAGCGGAAACCAATCACGAACGTTCTACAGTTTTCGCTCGTGATTGGTTCCGCTCTCGTTCCGCGCTCCGCTATTCCGCTGCGTGGGTTTGCACCCTAATGGCTCCTGCACAGGACGCGGTAATGCTTGCCGCGCGGCAGAAGTTCGCGCGACAGCCAATCAATATGTTGTTTTTCCGTAAGAGCTAGAAGATTATTACGGAAAGCACCATATTGATTAGCTGTCGCGCGAACTTCCGTCGCGCGGTAATCATTACCGCGTCCTGTGTGCAGGAACTATAAGGGTGTTTACGGAAAATCGCTCCGAGTTAATTTCAAGTCAGCGATATATATGCCTCTCTATAATTCAAGTATTTCATGTTCTGACTCCAACTCTGAAATAGAGACCGGGTTATTGAGAGACATACATCTTGACATCAGCGTACAAATTTGAAATTCTTACATGCTGCTGTCGATTTAGTATTAAATATTCTTCTTCTCCTTCTTCTTCTTTTTCAAATAACATGTTCCATATATCTAGGTCCATTGGTGCTACTTGTATATACATTAATATAAGTGATTATTTATTATTACGTAATATTAGTAAACAATAAAACAAGTAATTGGAATAAAAGATAATTCTTTATAAATGCTGCATATTAATAAAACTAATAAATAACATTTTAATATATTTTGCAATAATATATTATGATATTATATATATAAATTTATATGTGCAAACTGTTAATATAAATTTAGATGTATGTAATAGCATATATTTACATATTTATATTCTACACTGCTAGCAAGATATAGTATCAATAACCCAGGCGACAGTTTCCCAAAAAATGGAGGGGATAATGTTGGTACCAAAGAAAATTTCTACACGATATAATTTAAAGATTCTGTTCTTTGTAACTGCATTGCTAAATTGATGCAATACATTGAAATGAGGTAAGTATACGTTTTCTCACTCCAACCTTATGCATTAGTTCAGCAGTGCAGTTACAAAAAACAGATCTTTAAATTATATTGTGTAGAGATTTCTCTTGGTACCAACATTGTTTCCTCTATTTTTCGAGAAACTGTCGCCTAACCATAACCCGATCACTATTTCAGACATAGTTAGGCTGGGAACACAGACTTTTGCATAACGCATAAGAGAATCAACCAATCAGAGACCTTTATTTCCCTCTCCAGGATAGAAATGAATGACTCTGATTGATTGATTTCCTTATGTGTTATGCATTATGCGTTATGCAAAAGTCTGTGCTCAGGCCCTTAGAACATGAAATACTTGGATTATAGAGAGGCATATATACCGACTCGAAACTAACTCAGAGCGCTTTTCCGTGAATCCTTAGCTCCGCGAGCAGCACACATCGGCACGGAAGGGGGTACACACACACTCACGCGACTGTGTCCATGAGCACAGTCGCGTGAATGTGCACGTTTCCCCTCCCGTGCCGATGCGTGCTGCTCGCGGAGCAAAGTTTCTATCACTGCCTGGAACGCGCGCTGCCTCTTCCCATACAGCACAAAAACTTGCAGTTACATTGCAAGAACGTTATATCATTTCAAATTTCAACGTAACATTGCAGAAACATAACATGGACATGGAATTGTAACATTCATCGGAAATGTTAAAACAATATTGCAGGAACATTATAAATAATTAAAAACTATAATGCTATAATTTATACATAATATCATATAACGTGCCACCTATACTTGTACACTTAAAAAACACAAAAAAACGCAGTTTAACTTTATTATGCATTGCCAGCAGCTTTGTAAGATTTTCTATTAAACGACATCGGTAGTTTACGTCAACAGCTTACTAAGCAGTCGCTATTTCTTCTAACATATGTTAAAAGAATATTTAACACACCGGACCACTTTTAATAAATATGATGGAAAAGCGTTAACCGCTAAGTGTTTCTCAACAGAAATCCTTACAACAGTTGCAAAACTGCTAACAGTACAGTGGAAAGCTGCTTCTTCTACTCAATACAACCATTAGATTACATTTCACCGTAACGTTGCTACTATGTTTCATTGCAACATTTCTAAGGGCGGACATTTCAATATTGCTGCAACCTTGCGGTAATGTATCAATGTTTCGCAACATATATGGAATTTACAATGTTTTCGTGTAATGTCTATGCAATGTTCCTGCAACCTTTCTGTGCTGTATGGGTTGAGCCGTGTGGGATGAGAGAGAAATTCCTTGTTTCCTCTCTTATCCTTGTCTGGTTCATAGTATAGTCAAGAGTGGGGAGAATGTGATATAATCCAAGCTAAATGTTAGAGATAATATGAAAAGTAATAACCACTGAATGGCAATAACTTAAGCTTATGAACGAAAGTTTAAAATATAAAAAAAATATATTTTTTTTCTCATTTATTAGTATTCACTTATCGATTTATTATTAAGAAAAACAAAGCAAAGATGTTTCCTAATTCGGAAATTCGGGTGGGACCTGGTTGATCACGGCACGATTGTAATGATTGGTTCGATCTGGTAATTCACTAGATAATTCTTTGCATCGGTTGGTTGTGTCCAATCGTATAAATAGGAATACCGTGGTCAATCGGGACACTCCCGCGCGCGTTCCAGGTAGTATATATTTCGGGAGCGGTGCACTTGGACACGGTGCATTTGGACACAGCCAATCACAGCACCGTGTGATTAGAGACATTTGTAGGGTCCCTTGGAACAGCGACTTGTGATTGGACTGTGTCCAATTGCCCCGTGTCCAACTGATATACACCCTATATTTCAGTGTCGTTACCATCGCGGAAATGCGCCTAACGAACGTAGTAAAGGCGCACTTTGTTAAATGGCGTCTCAAAATTGTGCTTAGCTACGGGCACTAAAATCAAGCTGGTGACCGCTCTTAGGCTTCTCTTTGATGATACATTCAATAATGGGTTAGATGTATTTTTCCCTTATATTGAAGCATAAGCGGAATTCAACAGGCAACGATGATATGTATATGTGTGTGTGTGTATATATATACACATATATATATGTGCATGTGTGTACGTGTTGTATGTGTATATATATATACATATCATACATACAACATCTACATACAACGTCTATATATATATATAGACCGAATTTATAGAAGCTAAATGCTCAAACAAATAAAAAAGATAACAAATTTCCCATTTATACGAAATTATTAAAATCGGTAACAAAATATATTGCGCGCGCGAACAAGTTCGAAACAATTCGCGTGGCATAATTTGCCAAAGGGACGCGATGCGCGCGAATTTCGGTCGTAGTGTCATATCCAAGAGTATTCAGCGTGATAAAAGATAAACCGTTTATTACAGCAGAAATTTCCATTACAGAGAAAATAAAGTTGCACCTCGTTTTACGTCCGGGAGATGTTTTGTACAAGTAGCTACAATGTAACTCGTAGAAGAGAGGTGCTGATAAAGTCTTTTCTATATAAAGTCAAGAACACACAAAAACGGATTGCCGGCTCTCGCGTTTTAGGGGCGATGCATTTATATATATTTGTTTTTAAATATACATAAATATAGTCCACTATATTATATAATTATAAACGTTTTAAGAACTGTTAAAAGGTCCGTGAGAGGGCTGGTAAGAGAAGAACGACAGAAAGAGGAAGACGAAGACGAGGACGAAGGGGCGGGAGATGGTTGAAGGGTGAAAGGGAAAAGGAGGGAGAGAAGGGAAGGAGATCCCCGCGTATATAGGAATACACTAATTTTTTCTTTTACGTACGTGAAACCTAAATGTCTAAAGCATTTCAAAGGATGGTAATTGTAATCATATAATATATTAAAGTTGATGTTACTTTTTAATAGCTTAAACGTACTAATATCAATCGTAATAATTACAAGCATCGTTACGTCCTTATATAGTCAGCCGAGTACGATCGTCGCTGATAATCTCCTTTTTTGTTTCTCTCTGTTTTTCTTTTTCGCTCTCAATCTCTCTTGTTCTCTCGCTCTCTCACGCTCTCTTTCATCTCAATAAATCATTTTTTTATTCCCGCATGCATTCCTCTACCTCACTCACAGGCACATCTGTTCCCAATAACGCATTCCTTCAATCACTCTTCCTCTTTCTCTCGCTTTCTTTTTCTCCTCTCTCTCTCTATCATTCGATCGTTCTCGCTAGGCAAGATTATTCCGATATTGCGATATACGTTAGAAAAATATGCTATGCCTAAAATAGGATGAAGGCCTGAAGGCAACCATTCCGTCGATATTACTGATAATCGGTATGTATGTGTATTATGTGTCTCATGTATGTATGGTGTGTGTATATGTGTATAAGAGAGAGTGTACGTATCTGTGTTCCGCGTTCTTTTCTTTCTTTACACGATTCCGATTTCTCTCAGCGTCAGCGTTCCTAAAAGTGCGTTAGAAAAAAAAAAGAAAAAAAGGAAAAACAACAGACTCCTCGACGATTTTGATACGAGATAAGGTGTATATTGTCTATGAAATCAGCGCATAATCGTCGTCCCGCAAACGAATTCGAATTATCATGTCGAGAGATAAGATTCGGACTTTCCTTTTCGGCGGCCTTAACTTCTAGATATCGTTGAGAGTCACAAACTTTTTTTTTGAAAAATCGGTCTCGACGTTACACATTCTGTCCGAGAAATAAAACCAGTTTGTTTGTTTTTACGACGATACACGCGGGAGATATTTGGGAAAAGCTAACGGTGTTTTTCGTCTGTTCCATTTCGCATAAAGAAAATGCGGCTTGATAAGACCTTAGGATTGCAGTTTTTAACAGAAAGCTCTATATATTTCTCGAAAATAAAAAGATCATCGCTGTACATTCTTCGAATGCGTCGGGAAGAAAAAAGAACCTTATAAGCGAATAACGAGAATAAGTCTACTTTATACAAGAATAAGTTCTAATTACAAAATAAGGAATAAAAGAACGGCAGCACGGCATTCGGATAAATAGGTGCCTTGTCCCAGGATACGATAATGAAAGAAAGAACTTTATTATTTCGTTTACTTCACGTCAAATCGACGAGCCGTAATATATATAATATATATATTTGTATATATGTGTATCTTTTTTTTATATTATTTTCATTTGCTTCAAAGTCGAATGCAAATTGAAGCTCTCATGAAATTGACCTACATGTGGAGCGTAATTTGCGGTTCGTCTCGTCTCCATTATCTCGCTTGATTTTACAGAAGTATAACAAAGCTGGACAGCCATAGCACCTTTCCGGCATGCTACAACTTTACAAACATGTATACAGCTACTTACGAGCGAGCTAAACAAAAAGAAAAGGAAAAAACAACGAAGTTCGGCACGAGTTTTAAAGCGCGGAGAGAAGAAACGGTCAGAGATGTTATATACGTGGCTTATAAAATTTATCAATGTAATATCCACCTTCACTCGCGCGGTTTAGTATACGTTCAACGCTTTACAAACGTCAATAGCTCTCCACTTCGTCGTTATTCACGTGTAATGCCCGCGGCCTTTCTAGACGTTTTATTAATCATTTACTCTTATATTATGCGCTGCGATGCAGCACCGGAATACCTCGCGCAGCTATCCTACACGAAACTCGCAGAAAAACAAGCAAAGAAAAAGAAAAAAAAAAAGAAGAAAAGAAAACGAGTAAACTAAGTGACGATTTCAAACATTAACAATTTGTTTACATTCTAAAGACCTCCAAGTATATATATATATACGTTACAGAGGGATTTAATTTACAAATCGCAGACCAGCGGCCGTAGTGTAAATAATTATTTGCAATATAGGTTGAAACATATTTAATGAGTAATAATTGGTGGTTATATTCACGTGAAGTTGGACATAAACACACAGTACTACTTATATTTCATTGCATTATTTATGAATCAATAGACTAATATGTACTTAATAATTATTAGACTAATTATAAACCTAGGATTGTGATCACCCATCAACGTCAGCCATTTACCTAAGCAACACTCCCCTTTTTCATTTTTTTTTGATATATAAACAAAACAGCAAATGTATAAAATTTCTCGAACAAACTAAAACTTCCAATGAGATGCCCTGGACTGACTGACCGCACCAAGAAATTCTGCCTTTACGTAAAACGAGCCTTATATGCGAATTTCGCTTTTAAGTAAATTAATAAACATAATATAGAATAATTATAAACCGTAATAATCATGAAGATAATAATAGGTAATAATAGTAGTAAGCTGGCAGCAGTTAGTAACCAGGTATATTCTCAATTAAAACTCTCACTAGATGACAATCTGAAACTTACATGGCACTGGCATCCAATTAAGAACCATTCACTCATGCGCACGCATTCTAATTTGCTTTCGTTAATATTTGTTCTGTCTGATATTCGTTTCATTTTCTTTTTTCTTCTTTTTTTTTTAACTTTCCTCGGCTTTCAGCTACAAAACAATTTATATTTCGATCTCGCGCGCTCATTCTCATTCTACAACATTCACTCTTTCTCTCTCTCACTCTCGTTCTCTCTATCTTTCTTTCTTTCTCTCTTTTTCTCCCTCTCTTTCGTTCATTCGCTCTCGCTCGTTTCACCCCTTGACGTGCGAATCAGCTGCCAGATAATTTATCTCGTTTTCTCCGTGTTTTATATTTTGTTTGTTTATATAGTTATATAACCATTTTCCCAACGACTACACACTAAATAGTTCAAATTTTTTGCACTTTTTCACCAACAACAACTGGATTGTTGCGCCGAATCTCTTGAGCGCCCATTTCTTTGTAATCGAATTTGCAGTCGTGCTTGTCACTGTATCGATGCACAGCGCAGAATAGTCCGCCACAACGACACTCGAATCCTGAAAGGTTCACCACCAGATCATGAGCAATTTGAAAGTATCGACAGCTCTCTGTGAAAATCGCCGTTATATACATGTTAAAACGCAACGCGTTTTGCCCTTACTTACCGGTTAAACCGACTTTTTTGCGACATACAGCACAACGATTTTTCTTCTTCTTAGATTCTTTATCAGTCTCTTTGCCATCGAAGGAGTCGTCTGCTTCGCAATTACTCACGGATCCTTCAGCTGCTGCACTGCTTACACCTACTTCACTTTCCTGATCTTCCCTGCTTACCTAATTGACAAAAGGATAACACGCACATTATAATTACTTATTGCTGACGTCATTCCTTGAATCTCCTCTCTATGAGATATTTGATTTTAGATTTAATGGAAAGAATTACATTTCTTTTTTCTTTACTATATATTTAAAAAATGCGAAAGCAAATATTTGTTCCACATGATCGTTTTATCAACTAAATTTAAGTTTGTATAAAATTGTTATTAAACACATCACATTGTAAAATATCTCTGTATACATAAAATATAATCTGTATTATACACATGCAAAAAAAATATGGAATCCTAAAATTGCACATAGATATAAAACAGGTAAAAAATTTCTGTATTTTACATAAAATGTAACAAATTTCTTCTTTCAGATTATTTTTTTGTGTGATTTTCCTGTCAGCTATATATCACACAATGAAACATCTTTTCTTTACAATTACGGCAGTCATATAGCATATCGCGTAATCAATTCGTATAGTCAGGTCAGGAATAAATCCAATAGCTGAATTATTCATTCATTCAGGTACACGCGGAATAATCAATTTCTTGCTAAAAATTCGTAACTTTAAACAATTCATGTATCTCTCTCATGATAAAAATCCAATACACACAATGATACTAAACAATGTCACGAAGAGAAAATAGCAATACTCCAACACAAACTTCTGTATTACATCGAGAAAAACGTTCGTGAGAAAAGACTCGCTATAAACAATCTAACATTCTTTCCTTCCTGTTTCCAAAAATATACATCTTAGACTAAGAACAATTTGATTGTATACGACCTTGCGGGTTCGGGACAGCTTATAAGTGCTACCTTCTGCAAATTAATCGAAAGAACAAAGACGTTACATTTATGCAGAACAGCCAGCTAGGAGAGACGCAACGGCACTTACTTCTTTGGGACTGGGCAGATCTGTCGTTGGCTGAGGTATGGTAGGAATGGTAGGTTGGGCCGTTGTCCCGGTAGCTGCTGGACTACCGAAACTACCCTGCAACGTGCCTGCGTTGCTGGAGACAGTCTGTGAGGTTGGTACAGTAGCTGCTGATACCGGTGGTTGCTGCTTCTTCTTCAGATTTTCCTTATAGCAAAGAGAACAAAGGCCATCGGTAGCCGGCGAGCCATAGAAACCGCAGCCGCTGCGGCATAGGGCTTGCATAGGATTGGACTCTCGTTCCATAGTTCTTGTTTTTTCTGTGTAGCTCTTCACAAAACAAGTAGACTCCCTTTTATATCCTACTCGCTGTCACTGTCTTGAAAAACAGTGGAGAGTTGCAGTCAGCTTGGTGTGGAATAACTAGGTGTCTTTTGCCACGGCTCTCTTCCCAGTTGCTCCTCTACAACCGCGTGTCACCATGTACTCACCTGTCACAAGTAAAGTACAGTATTAGTGGCAAAGCTTAATATAAAATTATGTATATTAATTATACAATGAGAAATTATTTCTATACACTATGGCGCTGACATAAATCAATCAGTGATAGGAAGATCCAAGTCGTTATTGTGTAACACAAGTATACAAGTGCAGTTTTAACATTTATATATTGACTCTAAATATTTAAATCTGCTATCTTTTGTGCCATAAATATGTTCTGCAAAAGAGACCTTTGTAAACTATACACATATATATATAAAGCACTCCAGATCATTGTGAGAACAATCTATACAGAACAGTTTTGCAGTTGAAAAAATTGAAGCTTATGGTTTTAATCCATTCACAAAATATTTATATTACAATTCTATCCACTAAAGAGAATCACCACGAGAAATTATTTCTGTACAACTATAGCACTGACATGCAACACAGTCAACGATACAAAGATCCGCATAAAATCACTATGTTGTGACACAAATGTTTCTGTATCTTGATCCTGAATATAAATTTACTCCTTCATTATACAACAAATATGTTTCAGGAAAGACAGGATAATGTAATGTTCTTTGTAAAATACACAAAGTATATAAATGACAAAGCACTTCAGATCACTATAAGAATAATTTGCGCAGTATAGTACTGCAATTGGAAAGATTGAAGTTTGTGATCTAATTCTATTTATAAAATATTTACGTCATATATATAATTCTGACCAATTAAAAGATTTGCCACCAAGAATTATTTCTGTGTAACTATAGCGCTGCCATAAAGCAGTCAGCGATAAAAAGATTCAAATCATTATGTTGCGAGGCAGTTAACTTTTGTATATTGACCTTAAATATAAATCTACTATCTTTTGTACAATAGGTTTGTTGAAAGGCAAAGGATGTAGGGTTCTTTGTGGAGCACATACATATACACAAAGTAAATGACGTAAATGACAAAGCATTCCACATCACTGTAAGAATGATTCACACAAAATATTCAACACTGCAATTGGAAAAGCTGAAGCTAGTGATTTTACTCCATTCACAAAATATTTACGTCGTATAATTCCGAGCACTAAAAAGGATCCCTGGATTATACATATCCATGGATAATACGGTTATCCTCTACCAACGTCCGTGTACCGTACAAAAACTACACATTCGCACGCAGAACTCGGCGGACTGTCGTGTCGTGGAATTTAAATCGCACGAATTGCGTAAATAAGAGCTCACGTTATAGAGCACAGTGGTTCGAGCGACGACAGTGCGGTCGCAGCGGGCGTTTAGGGAAAAGTAACTGGCAGATCTTCCGAGGCATCACGTAATCGGATGTAAAGTGGCACGAAAAACGAACGTGTCAATTACTTATCGCGCTTTCTGCGCCGTGTAAGGTCAGATCGCGGAGTATCTCTCTCGGCGAAGCGTACCTTCCTCGTGCGCGGACACGCCAGGGCGCTGGGCTTCGATAACCGAAATTTCCAGCGAAAACGACACACAGACGGAAAAAAGAAACGCAGCGCGGTGCTTTTCCGAATCTCAAACGACAGAGGAAGAGAGAAAGAGAGAGAGAGTATCTCGAGGAAGAGATAAAACGTGAGAAGGAGAGAGCAGAAAAGGGAATAATCCGTGGGAGAGAGCGAGAGAGCGTGAGGAAGAGGAAAATAATTCCTAGGAATTTTCACTACGTCATCTTGGCGATCTGATTTTTTTCTTTCCGCCGCGATAGCGATACCGATGAGAGAAAGAGAGAGCGAGGGCGAGAAAGAAAGAGAGAGGGAGGGAGAGAGAGAGAGAGAAAGAGAGAGGCGTGATCACGGCAGCGCGAATATATTACTCACTTTCCAACACGCAGCCGTGTCGCAACCGATGCACAACATGGAGTAGGAATTTGTGCGAGGCATTTAAGTGTGGCAGCCGTCTCGTGTCCTTATCGCGATGAACACCCCGCGCACAACAGCCGGATCGTCAGCGGAATCTCTTGTCTCTCTTTCTCTCTCTCTCTCTCTCCGTTCGTGGTGGCCCGCTCCACGTTAATAATCTCCCCGTCTCGCGGCGCACTTCGCGCGGCACGCAAAATCAGCCACGGACGACGGCGCGTTGAAGCTCGCGCTCCGTGATCACGGGAACTCCGGCAACGTCGTCGCCGTTCCAGCGGCGACCCGTGTGGACCGTGTTCGCGTGGGCTACGTGTGCTCTCTCGACTTTCAAGCTCGCACGTTCGATATTCACGTCCTTCAGTCGAAAGAGCCCGCAAGGACGGAGGAGAAACAACGATAACGACGGGCGAATGTTTTCATGATGGCGATCGGCCCGCTGGCTTTTGGGCGGACGCGTAAGCGGCGACGGCACGACGCGACGCGGCGATCACAGCGACAATGATACCGCGCATCGACGCGACCGTCGGCAGAACTAAGACGCGCCTCGCCGAGAGCGCTGCTCGCGATACACACGGGGTGTTGTTCTCTAGCCTCCGCGCACGCGGAGTATCTCTCTCGTTTTCTCTTTCTCCTGCGGTATCTTTCTTTCTTTTTTCTTCTCGTTCGCTTCTCGAGAACTCTTCGATGAGAATTTCTAGACGAAATCTGATGGAGCTTCGTCCTTTCTCACGACCTCTTCTAGCACAGATAGACGATTTCGGCAGTGCGATTGAACCCATTAAATGAATTAAGCTCAATTGAAGTCGTGAATTTCGAACGGCGGCAGCCATGAATTCTGAAACTTAAATTTGAATGAAGAACAGCGAAAGAAGAGAAGAGGCACGCATTTAAATTTGAAAATTAATCCGATCCTGAATAGTCGGGTGGTCCTTTAATTTGTCTGTGTTTCCGCAAACGGATGAGCCCTTTAACCTTTCTCAGAATCCGTTTTTAAAGATGGGATTAAACGAGATATTTAAACCGCCGGCTGGGTTATCGATCGGTTTTATTATTAGCATGATTCTAACTAAGTAGGGAATAAGTATATTTAATTCCGATAAATTCATTATACCGACTGGATACATCATTAAACGCGGAGAAATTGACGATACATTTAAATCGGTGCCTCTGGACATGTTCAGTGAAAGGTTAACGTGGCCTGCGGCTTTATCGACGTCAATCGATCAGTAAAAGCATGTCACTTTTCCTGCAGGTCCCCCTCGCAGGATTTACTCCCGATGTGTGTGATTGACGTTGTGTCAGGAAGTCACGGTAAATACAATCCCATGTTTCCGCAAGATATTCGGTCAACTATTTTATATGTATTCACGTGGATCAGAGAGAGACCTTGACCTTAATTTTAACGACAAGCAGATTTTGTGAGCGGTTTAGAATCGATATTTCCTAAATTTATATTCCGTGACATCGTCATGATTTCCAGTTTGTGAAAATGACTGAGAATAATTTGTCATCAAACTCTAACTTTTTCTAAATGTGATTTTACCGAGATATTGAAATCCTGAGACACTGAGCAATTACTGAGATACACAGAGACATTAAGACGCCGTGATAAATATCGACGTGCGACTTTTGTAGTTTCAAAAGTGGGTCACTCGCACACGTGAGCATCTCTTAGATCTTCCACAACTTGACGCGTGAAACTGACATTTTATCATCTTGTAACAATTCGCACAGTAACCAAATCTCTGCGCAAAAGTATCAGAACGAGAGAGAGAGAGAGAGAAAAACTAAGGGAAAGTATAGATTAATTAAAAAAAAATAGTACTGAGGAACGATTGGCCTATTTTTCTCCTAATGAAGATTCAGTTTCAAGCAAGTTAAAACGGTTCTCGCGGAGAAATAAAGAGACTATCTTTATTTGAAGCAAACGTAATACCTATAGATTACACGAGGTCTGAGGAGGTTAAGAATTGGGTCACCCGTCTCTGTTGATCGGGAAAAAGTTATTAGAACGCGCGCATATAGGACTGTACCGAAATAGGTTGAAAGCGTGTGTTGTACGTTTCTCGAATGTCTGGCGGGTTTCCATCGATATCGAATCGGGGTGAATTAGAGAAAGAGAAAGAGAGAAAGAGCGAACGAAATGCGCGACAGGGATTGAAATATGTAATTCGCTATTTATACACGCGCACGCGCACGTTCTCTGTTGGAAGTCGCAAAACAACGGCACAGCCAAGTCGGGAGTGGTTTTTTACGGATTTTCGGCCGCTAGGGTTATCGTCTCGGCGCGCGCGTGTGCAATAAATCATCTCTCCTTCGCGAGTCGAATCCTCTAAGCGCTCGAACTACTCACTCAAGACAAGCTCGTCAGTTATTTGGTGGCGGAAAAAGTACGCAAACTTCGCTTTCTACCAAACGCATTCGGATAAACAGCGGCGGATAGACAGACTTCCACGATCATCATGACACGAGACGTTCCATCGCGATGGTGGAAACTACAATTTCTTTAAGGTTCTTGGTCTATTAGGACAGAAGGAAAGTGTTCAGAGTATTTTAGAGTTAATCGATCGCAAGTGTTATTTGTGGATATATTTTTTTATTTCGACGTACTTCGTTGGAATTTTGGGTACACATTTCTTCACTTCTGACATCATAAATCAAGACAGCCAAGGTGAATAGAAGTTTTAAGGAGAAACACATCACTTACACAGTAGAAATTTTAAAAAAATTGATTTTTTATCGCATTTTCTAAAAGCTTTTACAGTTTTGGAAAACTGTTTAAACATTGATTGAAAACTGGTGAAGTTAAAGGAAAATTTGGGAAGAGTGTGTTGAAACACGTACGGCACTGGGGGGGG